TATGGGGGTTTGAAGTTAAAATATTTTTTGGATGTTTTCGACCTATTTCCTAAATTGGGTCATATTGTTATCAAAACTTCATTTTTTGGACAAAATGTCAATGGGAGAAATATTCTGCATTGAATTTTACTATAAGTCTCCTCAGAAGAAAAATCGGTATATAATATATATATATCGAAGATATTACAATATTAAAAAGAACTTTTAAAATTTTGTGTTTTCTTGGGGTAAATTTGGTACATTTTGACATTCGGCCAAATTTTGTGACAACTCATAATTTAATGGGATATATGCCAATAAAGGAAATATTCTCCATCCAATTCTATCATAAGTCTCTGAAGAAATGAATTATGTAGATATATTATTTATCGATATAATTACGGCAAAACTATGAGCGTTTCAAGTTAAAATATTTTTGGTATTTTTTTCGATCTATTTCATAAATTGGGTCGAACTGGTATCAAAACTTTGTTTTTTGGGCAAGATGTCAATGGAGGAAATATTCTGCATTGAATTTCACTATGGGTTGCCATACACGAGAAATCGACATATATAATATATATCAATCAAATTACCACTTTTAAAATGACTTTTAAAAAAGTTTGCATTTTTTTGGGTGAATTTGGTACATTTTCCAAGATTGGTCAAATTTTCGGTAACTCTTCATTTTAGAGCATTGATGTCAATGGAGAAAATATTCTTCATCAAATATAAGTACATGTTTCTGAACAAAACAAATCTGTATATTTGGTATATATCAAGAAATTCACGCTAGAAACTAGGGAGTTTTTTAAGTAGCATAATTTTGGGAGTCTTTCGGCCTTTTCCATAAATTGGTCCAAATTGGCACCAAACCCTAATTTTTGCGGCATGTTGTCGATGAAAAAAATATTATGCACAAAATTTCAGTATAAGTCACCACACAAGAGAAATCGGTATATATAATATATATCAATGAAATTGCGGTATTAAAACGGATTTTTGAAATTGTGCATTTTCTGGGGGATTTTTTGGTATTGGTCACATTTTTCGATAACTCTTCATTTTAGGGCATTGATGCTAATGGAGAAAATATTCTTCATCAAATTTTAGTATATGTCTCCGAGCAAAAGAAATCTGTAGATATAGTATGCTTCAATGAAATTCCATGTAAAATTGAAGGGTTTTTAAGTCGTAATATTTTTTGGGATTTTTCGACCATTTTTTAATAATTGGACCAAATTGTTACCAAAACTTGAATTTTTGGCCTTGATACCAATGGAAGAAATATTCTGCATTAAATTTTAGCATAAGTGTCCTCCCAAGAGAAATCTGGATATATAACATATTTCAATGAAATTTGTGGGTTTTTAAAGGCGTCACATTTTAGGGGTTTAATTTGACCTTTTTTACAATTCGTCCCAAAACCCGATAAAAACTTTATTTTAGAGACTCGATGTCAATGAAAAAAATCTTCCTCATCAAATTTCACTATGGGTCTCCACACAAACGAAAGATGTAACTCTAAAAAATATTAAGGAAATAATACTACTAAGAAAAAAATCCTTGGGAGAAAAAAAATCAACTAAAACTCATTTTCGAACCAAAAAATTAAAATAAAATAACCAACCAAAATGGAAAAAAATAAATAAAACAAAAATCATATGTTTTTTTAATAATTTTTTTCTTAATAAAAAAATCAGTTTTTATTGCAATTTCGTTTTCGTGTTGTTTTTGTTTGTTTAGGATTATAAATTCATGGAGTTGTTTCTCAATAATAATTATAAGAATAATAATAATAATTATAGGATTAAAAGGTTTCGTGTTTGTTTGTTTGTTTTCACATAAGTTATAGTTATAAATATTTATACGTATATAATAGAGAATAAATTTTTATATAATAATAATTAAAAATAAAAATTGAAGGAATACAACTTTTTACAATACGAATCAATGAATGATGAGTGGGGGTGAGATATTTAGAGAGACAGAGGGGGAGAGAGAAACAAAAATGTAATTCAAAAATTAAAACAAATTTTTAAAAAAATAATACAAAAATTTAAAAACAAAAAAATATATATTTTTAGTTGAGCTTAAATGCTGTTCTTTAGGTTAGGGGGGTTTTTTAATTTTTTTTTTCGTATAAATAAATTTATTTTATATTTATTTATATATTTATTTATTTTTTTTTTGGAAAAAATGCATTCATATAAGACTTTTTGGATTGTTTCTTATTTTTGTTTGTTTCTTTTTTTCTTCGTTTAATACATTATTTTTTTATTATTAATTTTAAATTATAATTAATTATAAATTAATATTTACAATTTGTTAGTTTTATCTTAATCATATAATCTTTTTTTTTAATTTTTAAATTAGTTTATTTTTAATTATTATTATTTTTTTCTTCTTCTTTGTATAGTTTATGTTTTTGGGGGGAGGATTTTATCTTAATTTTAATTTTGTTTTTTTTTTTCATCTAAAAAATATGAAATATTTTACAATTTTGTTTTTTTGATATTTATTCGATTTTTTTTGTTTTGTTTAGTGTTGGAAAATTGGGTGGGGTAAGGGTTCCTTATGGGCACAAGGGTTGTTGAAGTTCCATGACTTGTTCTCAATTGCTAAACATTTTGACTTGGACCGGAACTTCAGCCCTGGCCATTTTCTTGTTGTTATTGTGGTTTTTACATTATGGCTTTTGCATTTGGCAGTGGCAGTTTTGTGGTTTACCCTTTTAATTTTTGTTTGCTCTATTATTTGTAGATTTTTTATTATTTTATTTTTTTTTTATAAATTTAAGTCAGTCTATTTTTAAGAAAGAAAAAATATATATTTTTTTTTCAACAAAAAAAGGAAAGTAGTTGTTTATTTTGAATAAACATTTTGTTAAGAGGAAATAATAATAAAATATTGTGCTTTACGTTCATTGTTTCTTTCTTTAATTCTTTTCTTTTCGTCTACATAACCTCACTATTTCAACCTAACCTCAAACTTGCCAGAGTAAGTAAGTATGAGAGAGAGAGAGGCTCTTGGCTCTTCTTAAAATGTATTGTATGGAAAAAATGTGGACTAGATCTTTATGTAAATAGTTTAAAATAGCTTTTGTTGTTGTTTTTAATATTATTTTTAAATATTTTTTTAATAAAAAATCATTTTCTTTTAATAAAAAATTATTTTCTTTAATAAAATTATGTTTTTTAATAAAAAAAATAATATATTTCTAATAAAAAATAATATTTTTTTTAATAACATTACGTTTTTTTTTAATAAAAAATAAGATTTTTTAATAAAAAAGAATATTTTTTTAAATAAAAAAAAACATTTTTTAAAAAGAAACTATATGTTTTTAATAAAAAATATTTTTTTAATAAAAAATTATTTTTTTAATAAAAAATTACTTTATTTAATAAAAAATTATTTGCTTTAATAAAAAAATTACTTTTTTTTAAAAAAAATTATTTTCTTTAATAAAATTATGTTTTTTTAATAAAAAATAATATTTTTTATATTAAAAAATAATATTTTTTCAATAAAAAATATTTTTTAAACAAATGTATCTTTTAGAATAATTATTTTAAAAGCATTAACAATTATTTTTAATTAAAAAAGTTAATAAAAAAATATTTTTTTAAATTTAATAAAGAAAAGATTTTTAAAATAATTTATTTTTTTGTAGTTTTATAAAAAATAATTTTAAATAAAAATGACATGAGCTTTTTTTATACATATTTAATAAAATAAATATTTTTAATTATAATTTTTTAATTATTATTATTAAAAAATATATATATATATATTTAAAAAATATATTTTATTGAATAAGTATAAAATTAGCACATGTCATTTTACATTGAAAAATATTTTTTACAAAACAAAGAATATAATTTACTATAAAAATATTTTCTTTATTAGATTTAAAAAAAAATATTTTTTTATTAAAAACAATTTTTAATGTTTTTTAAGAATTTTATTTTTATTAATGTTTTGAAGGGATATTTTCTTTTTATTAAATATTTTTGTGAAAAAATACTTTATTTTTATTTAATAAAAGTTAACTAATTTTTTAATAAACTTTTAATAAAATAAAATTTTATTATTACTAAAATATTATATTATGTTACTAAAAATATTTTTTTTAGATTTTAAAAAATATATATTTTTTAAAATATTTTTTTTAATTGTGAGTCAAATACTAACATATTTTTGGTATTTGAAAAAAATATTATTAAAAAATACATATTTTTTAAATTCAAAAAAAAAAATACATTTTTTTAATTAAACAAAATAATAAAATAATACATTATTTTAGTAATAAAAGTATTTAATATTATTTAAAAATATATTAAAAAATATTTGTTAGTTTATTTTCATTAAGTAAATATAAAGTATTTTTCCACAAAAAAAAAATATATTTTTAAAAAATGTTTCTATCAAAATAATCTTTTAAAATATTTTTTTATTAAAAAAAATATTATTTATTTAAATAATATATTTTATTAAATAAGTATAAATAATAAATTTTTAAAAAACAAATTATTTTCTCAATAAAAAAATTATATAAGAATTAAAATTTAAAAATTAATTTTAAAAAAATTGATAAAAACGTTTTTTTAATTTTTTTTTTGTGAAAAAAACTGTTTTATACATATATTATTCATTGCCTCATGTCATTTTTTATTTGAAATTGTTTTTTATTTTTTTATTTTTTTATTTTTTCACAAAAAAAATAAAATATGTTTTTATCAAAATATTTTAAACAATTTTATAAAAAATAATTTTTATATAATTTTTTTTAAATAATTTGTTAAAATATTAAATAAAGAAAATCATTTTTATATAATTTTTTTATGAAACAAATAATTTTTTATTTAAAATATATTATTTTTAAAAAATAATTTTATATTAAAAAAATTATATTTTATTAAAAAAAATATTTTTTTTATTACAAAAAAATAATTTATTATTAAAAAATATTTTTAACAACAACAAAAATAATTTTTTATTAAAAAAAATATTTTTGTATTATTTTCATTATTCAGTGTTTATGTTATATATTTTTTTAAAAAACTTTATAAACTACTTTACTAGAATTTAATATGGCGGCTGAATTCTTTTCTTTATACACAAGAAAAAAACAAAAAATAATATTTTTTTTTTTCGAAAAAAACCTAACAACAAGTTTTTCCAATCAATTGTTAACCCGTCCATTTTTTTTTCAAAAATTTTCCATTTTTTTCACTTCTGAGATTTACAATTGACTAAAACTACTTGTGGATACCCAGTGGTTTGTATCTGGCCGTACCATTAACTATATAGGACCATAATCGCTTAATGCCTGGCCCGGATGTTGGTTACCAGGCCCGCCTGGTAGTGAGACCACCACAGAGACGGCCCTGGAATCCACCATGCCAGGACCGTTATTGCCATTGCCCCCATTGCCATAGACATTACCTGGAGTATTCATACCACCACCGCCGCCATTGCCACCATTTCCCCCTCCCCCACCACCACTTCCATGCATTAAACTGCCAGGAGGAGCCCCAACACCGTGCATGCCACTGCCGCCAACCGTACTATTGCCTGCCGTGCTCATCAGAGTACCATGCCCACCCAGCACGCTGCCGCCGCCAATTGTACTGCCGCCGCCGCCGCCACCACCGCCCATCGTTGAAGCTCCGCCTGACTCTCCATGTCATACATGGCTGGCGGCAGGCTGTTTCAAGACATGATGGTGCAAATGGTGGTGGCTGGTGGAGGCCACCGAGGCTCCGCCCGCCTGCGTGTATGGGGTTGCCAGCAGTGATCCGGCAGCAGATCCTACTGGCATACCCATGCCAGAGCCGGCATAGGGATGTGGTATGGGTGGCCGTTGTTTGATGAGCGCCTGATTGGCGCCGGTGCGATCCGGCTGGCCAAACAGACGTCTCCAGAAACGACGCCAACTTTCCAATGTCTTGCCAGACCATATCCATACGCCGGATGTTATGCCCACCGCCAAGGCCATGAAGTATTTCAGCATCAGCACCGAGTAGAGGGGTTTCTTGCCGGGGCCCTTGATCTGGGCACAGGGACAGGCCAGTGACTTGATCCAGTCCTCGAAGTAGGCCGCCTCGTAGAGATAACAGCCGATGACAATTGTGGCCGGTACGGTGTACAGCACCGAGAAGATGCCAATGCGTATCATAAGCTTTTCCAGTTTATCGGCCTTGACGCCGGCTCCCACGCCGCCTTGCTGCTTGATGACGGAGCGTATGCGGAAGAGCGAAACAAAGCCGGCCATAAGGAAGGTGGTGCCAATGACCAGATAGACAAACAGAGGAGCCAGCACAAAGGTCTTCAAATGATCGGGATTCAAGTTGCCCACATAGCAGATACCCAGTATGGGATCACCATCCACGGCCGACAGCAGGAGGACTGCCACAGATTGCACTGTGGGTATCAGCCAGGCAGCCAAATGGAAATACTGCGAATGTTTGGTAATGGCCTCATTGCCCCATTTCAGACCGGCCGCCAGGAACCAGGTAAAACTCAAGATGACCCACCATATCGACGAAGCCATGCCAAAGAAATAGGTCATCAAAAACACCAGTGTACACGAATGCGGTCCCGTCGAACTCTCCTTCAGCAGTCGCCCGTCGCAGGCAATCTCCTCATTCTGCAGGAAATTCTTGGACAAATAACCCACCGAGACCATGAAGTAACAGGCGGAGAGGAACACAATCGGCCGCTCGGGATACTTAAATCTTTCGGTGTCGATGATGAACGTGGTCAGGGTCATTAGGGTGCTGCAGAAGCACAGGCCCGACCACAGGGTTATCCATATGCCGGCGAACTCCTTTTCGTCGTTTGTGAAGAACGGGCCCTTGCACGGAATGGCGCAGTTTTGAACGTTGGCGATTCTTGACACAGTCGAGTTCATGTACCACGGGTAGTGCATGGTGGGTGGTTGCATCATTTGGGCTTCCTTCCCCAGGAGGATGAGTGGTGGGCGACATGAGCATGTGCATTCCTTTGCGTTTGTTTTTTCTCCTAGGGAGCTTTGGCAGTTTTTTGAATTTTTTCCTTTGCATTTTTGGGAGCCGGAGGAGCCAGACGAGCCGGATTGTTTGCGTTTGCCGCCGCCGCCCGAAGAGGAGCCGCCGCTGGAGCCGGAGGCACTGTCACCACGGCCGGAACCACTCGAGGAGCTGCCTGAGCCACCACTGCCACCCGAAGAACTGGAGTCGGTGTAGGATGGCTGTTCCATGCAGAGATTTTCCGGGTCACCATAGAACGGCAGTCGTTCGCAGGCCATGCGTTCGGGCCACTCAAAGCTGTACTGGTGCATAATGGGGGCACATCCTGCCCGGGCGCGTTCACACACCGAACGACATACGGGCAACGGTTTGTGATAGTCCTCCAAACAAATTGGCGTGTACATGGAACAGAGGAAAAATTTCAAATCGGCCGAGCAGCGTATCTCCACCAGAGGCCAAAATTGATGGACCTCCAGACCGGCCTCATCCTGGGTCTCGTGATTCATTTCGTTGGGAAAAGAGGTCATGTTGTAGCCAATACCCCGGCACATGGGTATGGTGATTTCTTCACAACGTGAATTGGGATCCTTGGGTATGGCGGGCAGGCCGAAACCGGGGGCAGGACTTACTTCCATGGAGTGCATGCCGCCCATGTTGCCGCCACCGACTCCACCAACACCGCCAACGCCGCCGCCATTATCGGCCATGTGTTGCAGGCCATCGGCATAAACGCTGGTCGCCGCCGTCACCGCCAACAGGACGAGGAGATAGATTGTGGGGAGAGCGGAAAGGCATTGCCGCCTTCTGCTGCAGAGATTTCTTAGGCCAGCCATAGCTGTTAGAACAGGTGTGGCTGATGACATTTTATTTTTGTTGTAGAATTTTTTTTTTGATTTGTTGTTGTTGGTGTTTTTTTCAAATTAGGGGGCCACCTACCACCCTGTGCTGTTTTTGTTGTGGCTTTTTTTGTTTTGGAGTTTAGCTTCCTGTCTCTTGGGGTTTCCTTTTTTTCTTGATAAGGATTTTATTTTGTGAAGAGAGAATCCTTGAGAGAGTTTTCAAAATAGACTTCTAGAGAGCGAGAGAGAGAGCGTATCTAGGCTGAAGAATGTGTGTTTTGGTTTTCCTTAACTCAGCGTCAAATGTGGAGATTTCGAAATTTAAAAAACATCTGCAAAGAGAGAATGGGAAAAAATGGAAAAATTAATAAAAATTGGAAATATTTGGACGATTTTTAATTTTTAAAAATATTTTAAACAAGAAAAGGTGAAAATTAAAAAAAAATAATTAAAAATCTAAATATTTTTTTTTAATTTTTAAAAATATTTTAAACCAGAGAAAGGTAAAAATTAAAAAAAATAATAATTAAAAAATTTAAATATTTGTAAGTTTTTTTTTTTTTTAATTTTTAAAAATATTTTATTTTTTTTACATTCGATATTTTCAATTTTCGTTGTTTTTTAGAGAAGAAAGAAATTCGAATTTCGATTTTTTTAAAACAGTTGTTTTTTTTTTTTTCATTTTTTCAACTCCCTTTTGCGGAAGTTTAAATGAAAACCCAGCAGATTATGAAATTAGAGCTAAAAAAAGACACTTGTATCGGCTTTTTTAAAGGTTGAGTTTAAGTTTTTTTTTAATTTTTAAAAATATTTTAAACCAGAAAAAGGTAAAAATTAAAAAAAAATAATAATTAAAAAATTTAAGTATTTGTAAGTTTTTTTTTAATTTTTAAAAATATTTTTTTTTGACATTCGACATTTTCAATTTTCGTTGTTTTTTAGAGAAGAAAGAAATTCGAATTTCGATTTTTTTAAAACAGTTGTTTTTTTTTCATTTTTTCAACTCCCTTTTGCGGAGGTTTAAATGAAAATCCAGCAGATTGTGAAAGTAGAGCTAAAAAAAGACACTTGTATCGGCTTTTTGAAGGATGAAGATATATTTCGCAATATTTAAAATAACGCTCCAACATTTTATAGAGAATCAGAATCATTGGTACAGAAAATGGGTCATATCGATACACTTTTTGGAATAGTCTCCTTATAAGGATAACTCTGATTTGAAGTATTTTTTAAATTCACTTTTTTTCAAAATATTTTTTAAAAATTTAATTCATTTTTTTTTAAATATTTTGTTTTTCATTTTTTTTATTATTTTAATTCACTTGCACTCAAAATCTATTTTTATTTATTTTTAAATTCTTTCTTCAAATTATTTTTTTCTCCAAATGTCACTTCATTTTATATTTTTTTTTTTCAAAATATTTTTCCATTTTTTTTAATTCATATTTCTTTAAAAAAATATTTTATTTGTCATTTTTTTACTATTTTAATTCACTTGCATTTAAGTCTATTTTTATTTTTTTTAAATAAAATAAAATTTTTGGAATGCTCCCTTAAATTATTTTTTTTTTCCAAATGTCACTTCAATTTTCTTATTTTTTATATTTAAATTTATTAATTTTCCAATAAATAGTTAACATAATTTTAATATTTTAAAATATTTTTTTTGAGAATTAATTATTAAATTATTTTTTCCAAATGCCTGTTCAATTTTCTTATTTTTTTATATTTAAAATTATTAATTTTCCAATAAATAGTTGCCATAATTTTATTATTTTAAAACCCTCACAAAAAAATCTTTTTTTAGTAAAAATATATTTTTTTTTTGTTTGTAATATTTTTTTATTTGTAATTTTTTCTATTCTCTCGCTAAAATATTTGTTTTTCAAAATTCATTTTTTATAACTCTTTCATTAAATTATTTTTCATTCCAATATCATCTCAATTTTTTTTCAATAATATTAATATTTTTTTATTTATATTTTGTTATATTCTCTCGCTAAAATATTTTTTTAAATTCATATTTTTTATAATTCTTTCATTAAATTATTTTTCATCCCAATATGATCTCAATTTTATTATTATTATTATTTTTTTTTTCAATAAACAGTTGTCATATTTTTATTATTTTGAAACACTTAAAATAAAATATTTTTGTTTTCATATTTAGTTTTTTTTCATATAGGTTTTTTTCAGAAAATCAGAAATGGAATTCTATTTACTTTTATTTTGTCTTATTCTCTCTCTCTTAAATATATTTTTTCAATTCACTCTCCACAATATTTTTTCCAATATTTAAAATTTCCATTAAGTTTTTGTTTATTATCCACAGACACTGCTTTGTTAATTTTTTGGCCATTTATTTATATTTTATCTATTTTTCTCTTCCAGAATTATTTTCTAATTCTCTCTCCACAACATTTTTTATATTTTAAATTTGTATTAAATTGTATTATTTATTTTCCACAAAAATTACATTTTTTTTCGTTCAATTCCAACCTTCAAAACTCCACAGGAATCAGGACGTAAAACTACGTTCTTTGGCGGCAACAAACACAACATTTGTTACAACAATTTGTTACTGGGTTTTCGTTTTGTTTCACGGCAAAGAAGAGTTCTTCCAAACCATTTGAGATTTAACAACCAACTGTTTGCTCAGAGGCACAGCAATGATACCCAAACCCTCGATGCACACAATTCGGGAGAGACACAAAGTGAAAGTATTTACGGGGAAAGAGAGAGAGAGGGAGAGAAAGAAAGTCTTGAGTCACTCACTAACAAATTTCCATCCCCTTTCCCAAACAACAAGAACCAAAAACAAAATTAATACAACAACAACAAAACATCACTAAGACCATTATTGTTGGTGTTGTTGTTGTTACTGTCTGTCATCCTGTAATACCCACACACATACTTAAACACACACACTCACATTTACCCCAATCTAAATATTTATTTATTTTGTCTATGAACAAACGACCAAACGCTTTACGCCAACCGTTATATTTGTGTCCCAACGTCTCTAATAACATTAGGCGACACTGGACTTTGGTTCACACACAACACAAAACAAATACAGTTGCCGTTTAATGCAATGAGAGTGCAAAAAAGGTAGTTAGAGAGAGAGGAAGTAAGGGGAAAGGCTAGAAGGAGAGCCAAACACAACAGCATCTCAATAAAATAACATCAATCAAAATCAGTGATTTTTATTAAATTTGACAGACATAAACGGCTGTTTTGCTACTAGAGATGAGGCTCAATGGCTGTGGCTGGCTGCCTGCCTGGTTGGACATGAACATTGTCTTTGCACTTAATGGCAAATGGCCGTGACTAAGTGAGTGGCGAGAGTAAGTGGTGTGAGTGAGTAGGACACCACCATCAAAATAATGATGCATTATGAGAAATTAAAGTTAAATAAAATGGAGCAGCAGCATCCCAGCCATAGTTTCGTTTTTTTTTTTGGAATTTTTTTGAAGGTGGCTGGAAGATGAATTTCTGGCTGACACTGGCAGAATTGTCATTGGTGCTGACAGTTTTGTGTTGTTCTGTGAATTGATGTAAAGTGTAGATGAAATAACCCTAAAAATTAATTAAAATCAATTGAATTGCTCTTTTGTTGTTGGCTCCCCCCCCAAACCAAGACACTTGGTTATTTGGCGTCTGGATACTGTGTTGTGTTTTTTTTTTGTTTGTCCCCTTGATTACTTCCTTAATTACTTGACACTTGACACTTGTTGTTGTTTTTGTTATTGTTATTATTCTGTTGATATGATGATTTGAGAACGTGACAGATTTTTAAGTGCCATATTTTTATTAAAACATTTTATCAAGTGATTTTAATTAAGAGCCAAGAGCCGGCTTGCCGGGATTTAAGGTAATGTTGATCGAAAGTGCCAAAGATAATTGAAATGGAAAAAGGAATTAAGTTTAAAGTTAAGTATTTAAGTAAAGTGATGTCTTGCATCGTGGCGCCCAATTATTGGAAAGGGAAAAAACGACTGAAGGATTTATTAATATTTGAAATAAAATATTTTCTGAATGGAAATCTGCTTTTACATTGGGCGCCAAGAAGGAAAATTTGTGAGGAAAAACTAAATTTCTATCAAAAAAAAAAAAAAAAAAAAAAAAAAAAATATATATATATATCCATACTTTCATGGAAAAATTGTGACCCTTTGTGAATGAGTTTCGTATCTTTTAGCGTTTTATTTTTCAAAATCTTGAATGCTATGTGGGAGAGGTACCAGAAGAAATGGTCCGATCTCTACCATCTTTACAACAGATCTTATGTTGTTAGAAATATTGAGATATGCCAAGTATGAATGAAATCCGATTTTAGTTTCGTGTTTTATGAGCTTCATGAATACTTAAAATTTTGATCCTTTGTGGGGGAGATACCAGAAGGAGTCGACCGATACATCCCATCTTCACGGCAGTTCTTGTGTTAGTAGAAATAATGGAATGTGTAAAATATGAAGAGAATCGGATGCTTATTTCGGATTTTATGATCGTTTTTTGTTATTCAAAACGTTGGCTCTTTGTGGAAGAGGTACCAGAAGGAATGGTCCGATCTCTACCATTTTTGTAACAGATGTTGTTTTGATAGAAATATTGAGATGTACCAAGTCTGAATGGAATCGGATGTTATTTTCGTGTTTTATAAGCTCCAGGGATATTTAAAATCTTGAACCTTTGCAGAGGAGGCACCAGAAGGAGTGTTCCGATCTTTATCATCTTTACAACAGATCTTATGTTGATAGAAATATTGAGATATGCCAAGTTTGAATGGAATCTGATGTTAATTTCGCGTTTTATGAACTTCATGGATATTCTAATTTTTGACCCTTTGTGGGGTAGTTACCAGAAGGAATGGACTGATATATTCCATCTTCACACCATACCTTGGGTTAATAAAAATATTGAGATCTGTGAAATTTGAAGACAACCGGATGCTTATTTCGAATTTTATAATCGTTTTGGTTATTCAAAACTTTAACCCTTTGTGGGGGAGGTACCCGTAGAAATGGTCCGATATCTATCATCTTTATAACAGATCTTGTGTTGATGGAGATATTGAGATGTACCAACTTTGAATGGAATCGGATGCAAATTTCGTGTTTTATAAACTTCATGGATATTCAAAATGTTGACCCTTTGTGGTGTAGGTACCAGAAGGAGTGGACCGATATATACCATCTTCACAGCAGATCTTAAGTTAATAAAAATATTGCGATTTGTGTAATTTGAAGACAATCGACCAGTTACATCACATTTTATAAGAGTTATAATTATTCTAAATTTTGACCCTTTGTGGGGGAGGTACCAGAAGGAA